TTGGGCAGGGACACCACTCCTACCCCGTGGCTAATACCACTCCATGGACCCAACCTCCATGAATTTATCTAACTTCTCTTTAAACTCTGCTATAGTTCTATCCTTCACAGCCTCCTGCAGCAAGGAGTTCCACAGGTTGACTCTTTGCTTTGTGAAGAACAACTTTCTGTTACTAGTTTGAAGCCTGCTACCCATTCCTTTCCTTTGGTGTCCTCTAGTCCTTCTTTATGGGAACTAATGAAGAACTTTTCTGTATGCACCCTCTCCACCCCACTCCTGCTTTTAGAGACCTCTATCCTGTCCCCCCCTCCATCTCCTCTTTTCTAAGCTGAAAAGTCCCAGTCTCTTTAGCCTCTCCTCATATGGGACCTGTTCCCAACCCCTGATCATGTTAGTTGCCCTCCCCTCTCCCAGCCTCTCTCTTCCCCTCTCCCACCTCCTTTTCTCAGTCTCCCCCAGTTTTGGTCAATAAAGACAGATTCCATTTTGGAAAACAATTGTCCTTTATTTTGTACGTCAAGAAAAGGGGCTAGGGAAGGGTAAGTGGAAAGAGGTGAGGGAGGAATGGGGCACGAGCCCCCGATGGGGAGGACTGGGCTGGCTCTGCGGGCTTTTGGGGTGGAAGCTGTCCTGCAGCCCCCCAGTTGCTCCCTCTCCCCAGATGGCAGCCTGCGGCAAATGCAGCTGGTCTGATGTCCCAGTGCTGTGATGTGCCCAGTGTGGGTAGTCCGGGCACTCCAAGCCAGGACTGGTTTTCAAGCAGGGCACCCCTGAGAACTGTCTGTCCGGGGTGGGGGTCGGGTCCCTTTAAGCGCAGCCCTCGGCTAGCCTGAGACAGCATCTCCACGCTCTAAGTCCTCCTCTGATGCCCTGCCGGCACTGCTTCCGGCCATCCTTAAGCCCTGTTCAGGGTCCACTCAATGTGGACATGCTAGTTCGAATTAGCAAAACGCTAATTCGAACTAGTTTTTTAGTCTAGATCCGTTAATTCGAATTAGCTTAGTTCGAATTAACTAATTCGAACTAAGTTAGTTCAAATTAACGTTGTAGTGTAGACATACCCTATGTGAGTAGTCCTGTAGACTACAGTGTGATTGCTCACATTCGTAGTTAAGAACGTGTCATTAAGGTTCACTGCTCTGTTGGGACCTGAATGCCCAGGACTGTGCAGGATCAAGCCCATAAAGAATTACCAAGGACCCACAGAAAGGTGGTCTTTTTTAAGCATTAACATATAAGTGAGCATTTCTAAACTAGAAAATATATTTACTTGCCTGAAATAATTGGAAATAACTGCAAGTCTATTAACTTCAGTCATGCAACTGTATTCATGGTAAAACTAATTTTTATTTACCAAAAGGAAATTACAAGACTTCAAGAAGAAAATGAAAAACTGAAGACTAGACTCAAGACAATAGAAACACAGGTAAACTCACCATAAACTTAGATGTATGTACATGTTAAAAATACCAAAATAGAACTTAATTTTAATTTCTTCATTTCCAGTAAAAGCTGCTTTATTGGTCTTTGTCTTTCCAATTTATTGCAGGCTACAGGTGCATTGGATGAAAAAACAAAATTAGAGAAATCACTGAAGGAATTACAGATGATTCAGGGAGATCAAAAGGTTGGCTATTTTCTCCATTGAACCATTACCAAGGCTTGTAGAGCTAAATTAGACCTGACAGATGCAGTTGACTTTGTGGGGCACACAAAGGTCCTACTTAGGGTTGCCATGGTCCTACTAACATTTAGAGAGCTTATCCTTTAAGAAAAATATGTTATGCTTATGTATGAATTAATGCATGGTAGGAAATTACCAAAGTCCCATTCCAAAGTTTTTTCTTTGTATTCTAAAGATCAAAATTAGTTTAATTATTTTACAATAAAGGGTGATGTTTTGTTTTTTTCTTATTTTTGTTTTTGCCTTTTTGTTAGAAAAGATGCATCATCTAGTTTCCGTTCTAATTCAGCAATAAAATGTTCAGTTTGTGGTCAGTAGTATTGTACATTTCCCTTTATGTATTTGCATAGCTCTTTTTGGGGAAAATACCAGAATAAAGTGTTCTGAGTCAGACTCTTAAGAGGTTAAAAAAGATGTGAAAGTAGGGTCAGAGACTATACCAATAGTCAATAGGGGATATGTCATTAATTTACTTGCGCATAGGATCAAACTCACAGACCTTTAAATTGCAAATACACCTTTAACTCTTAGTCCAAAATAGTTTTTCCTACATTTACCTATCTATGCCTGAATTGAGGGCCTCAGGTTTCTCTTGTAAAAGTTGGTGATCCAAATATGATTAACCATGGTAGGAAAAATAGAATAAAAAAAATTGTTTGATTCACCTTCTTAATTTTTTAGCCTATACAATTATTTTCTTAATATCTAACAGTTTATAAAGAATACTTTAAAATATTTTAGTTCTTGTAACAAATTAGTTGAAAACATTTAGTCTTATTAGCTTTTTCAGCCTTTTATGAAAATAATGTTGGGAAACTGACATTTTTAGTGTCAGTAGTATTGCTATCTTTGAAGTGAATTTTTCAATTCCCTTTCTCAAAATTATATGTCCTTTTAATTTCCATATTTGTAATCCCAATTTCTTTTTATTTTGCTTTCTAAATGGTTTCTGGTATGTACTCTATTTTCTTAATATGTTTTTAAGCCCCCTACTATTTTTTTAGAATCTGTTATTTTCATACATTAATATTATTCACTGGTAGTTTAATTTAAAGGTCACAGCAAATACTTTCTTTATCTGGCTTTTAAACTCTTGTACCTGTATATATTACACTGGTAGTTTTAAAGGACAAGTCTTATCTGCTGTCTGTCTGTGTAGGCAACAGCTGGCCTGACTTTAAGAAGTGTTGAATATCTGCAGTTCCTATGAAGGCACTTATCAGAGATTTTGATTTCTTAAAAAAATTGTAGCCCTACATGGGATTATTTTGGTTATAGAATTTCTGAAACAGATGTTTTGCTAATGGGGACAGGTGAAGAATTAATGTGCTCCACATTTGTATCTGAAAATATCACGTGGCTGGAGTCTGTTTTTTAAGCGTAGCTGGTGTCATTGTGCCTTTAATAAAATGAAAGTAAAATTATATAATCATAATCATGCTTTAATAGACCAGGTTAACATGGACTTGGAATATGTGCATCCTGTAACTACTTTAATCATGACTGCAACAGATCATGTCTGTCTCACTAAAGATTGGGTCTTTGTGTTCAAAATGGGAAGACAAGGCATATGGACTTGCTGAAAATCAAACTGTGATTACATACAAATGCAGTTTTCTAACTGTATATAATTTCTCAACACAGCTTCAATCCCAAAATGTTTTAAGATAAAGTAAACTTTGAGTCTCAGTAGATACAATCTTGGCTGAATTCCTACTGTTAGATCTTAGCTCCCTTGTATGAAATGGGACTGAACTTCATTCTTAAGGGTTTGGTTCCTTTGATTCTCTCATAGTTCAGAGCCTTTCTGAGTCCTGATAGAAATTTTCAAGAGTCATCAGATACTTCTCATAAATGAGAAGTTTTAATGTATATGGACTAGGGATGTTAGTGTATAGCCATGTAAATGATTAACCAATAAGCCTGTGTTTATTGGTTAATCCTAACAACTACATGCGCTTTCCCCCACCCATTGCTACCGAGAGGCAGCAGCGCAAATGGTGAAGGGGGCAGGCGGGAGCCAGTACACACAGGGAACCAGCTTTCAAGCCAGCTCCCCTTGGGTGCCATCTCCAAGCAGCTACCTGCTCCCTTCCCTTGCTGCCTCTCAGAGGGGTAGGGAAGACAGGCAGGAGCCAGTGTTGCTGGCTCCCCATGAGCACTCGCATCCTGGAGCTGCAATTCCCCACCCACACTTCTGCCTCTGTATCAGAGGCAGCAGTAAGGGAGGGGAGGGGCAGGCGGGATGCAGGTGCAGCCCTTGTCCACAGGGAGTTAGGGCCCCCCCATGGACAGAGGCTGCTGCTGCCCTGCACTAGTGCCTCTGTAGCGTCGGGCAGCAGGCAGGAGCTGGTCTGCAGGGGAGCCAGTTTTTAAACCTACCACCCCACACTGATACAGAGGCAGCAGCATGGTAGAGGACTTCACAGGAATGGTGCCAAGTGCACACTGACTGCCAGCCCGCCCCAGGAACCATCAAATAATAGTGTGACTGATAAGATTTGTTACACTTACACTTTTATTCAATTAATCAACATCTAACATCCCTAATATGGATGTAGCAGTTAGGTGACCACATATTTACGGCACAAGGCTGATGCTCAAGGGCATGTGTGTTGCTTCTTTTCACAGGATATGAGTAATTGCTATTAGTGTATACTCTCCTTTACTGGGTGAGGCTTACCAGTTAAGATTAACTGACCGGGGCTGGAGCAGATCCCCATCTGCTGTGGGCAGGGAGATACTTCAGCCCTCTGGGGCACGCACTTCAAACAGGAGTGGCTCCAGCATCTCGGCCAGCATAGCCTTTGTCTGTGGGCCCGGGTGCCTCGCAAGCAGGGACTGCTCCAAACGGGACGCCACAGCAGCCCCTGCCTGCAGGGCACCCTGGCCTGCCACAGGCAGGGACAGCTCTACCTGCACCAGTGCAGCCCCTGCCTGTGGTAGAGGGGCCAGAGGTACAGACTGCTGTGGCCAGGCTGGAGCAGCCCCACCCTACGGAGGGGAGACCACTCCAGCCCTGTAGCGGGTGGAGAGGGGCAGAGGGCATTCCAGCTGGACTGGAGCACACACACCCTTGCTCAGCCCCCCCTTTAATCAATAACCAGTTAAACAATATGTTTAACCAATTAGCCAATTAAACAGGATTTTACATCCCTAGTTGCTGATGTATACCTTAACATTCCCACATCCCATCTTCCTCTACAACTCTCCTAACATGTCAGTGGCTTTAAAAGTTACAATATAGGCCTTTACGTTCTCATTATATTCTGTAATCTTCTTAATACAGGCAGTCCCCGAGTTACGCGGATCCGACTTACGTAGGATCCGCAGTTACAAACGGGGCCGTTACTCTCCCTGGTCTCCAGCAGACCAGGGAGAGGAAGCAAAGCGGCGGAACACGTGGGCAGCGGACAGGGCAGTCCGCTGCCCACGCGCTCCGCGGCTTGGCTCTGCTTTGCTCTGCTTTGCCCCCACCCCGTCCCCCTGGTCTGCAGACTGGGGGGACGGGGGGGCAAAGCAGAGCCAAGCCGCGGCGCGCGTGGGCACTGGACAGCCCTGTCCGCTGCCCACGTGTTCCGCCGCTTTGCTTCCTCTCCCTGGTCTGCTGGAGAC